TCTCCCTTCTGCCTCTCCCTTCTGCCTCTCCCTCCCCCTCCCCTTCCCCTCCCCTCCCCTTCCCTCTCTCTCTGTCTGCATTTCAGTCTCCCTGCATGTGTCACCATTGTTGTGTGTGTGTGTGTGTGTGTGTGTGTGTGTGTGTGTGTGTGCTCATTTCTCTGTTTGCATGGGCCTTGGGACCAGTGAACCCAACCAAGAGCTGCCCCCCCCCAAAAAAAATCCTGTCTTTTCTACTTTCAATTTAGCTTGAGTCAGCTTATTTTGTCAGCACAGAAAACCTATTCCAGAGGAGCCACAGAAAGTCATGTCTTCCCCAGCTGATGCTGTGGGACAGAGATGTGAAAGGACATGTCCAGGTCACACAGACTAGCAGGTCAGGTAGGACAGGAAGGTGTGTGAATTAGTCAGCTCTCTTACTACTGTGACTCATACCTGCAAGGACAGCGGAAGGCTCCTGGTTTTAGAGGGTTCCAGCCCATGTCTAATAGCCCTACATATGTGGACAGAATGTTAGGATGGCCTATGGTAGAGGTCCTTACTCACCTAATGGTGGACATGAAGCAGCCAAACAAGAGAAGCCACTACTTGACATCTCCTTCAAAGATGCCCACCTTCTTGGAGGACATACTTCCTCCAAACAGGCCAAACCTTACAGCTTTCAGAACCTTCTAAAAACAGCACCATCAACTAGAGACCAAGCATCCCATACAAAAGCCTTAAGGGGATATTTCATATTCTAACCTAACAGTTTGTTTACTCCTACCCAAGTTACTTATGGTGACTCCTCTCTTAATCCCCTCCCAGAATAACTGGAGAGCTGTCTGGTTGTACTCCTCCCACGATCTAGAGAGTGTTGCTTTGATACACAATGTCTTAGTTTGGGTTTTATTGCTGTGAAGAGACACCATGACCAAGGCAATTCTTACAAAGGCAAACATTGAATTGGGGCTGTCTTACAGCTTCAGAGGTTCAGTCCACTATTGTCGTGGTGGGAAGCATGGCAGCATGCAGGCAAACTTGGTGCTGGAGGAGCTAAGACTTCTATAACTTGATCTGAAGGCAGCCAGAAAGAAAGTGTCTTCTGCAGGCAGCCAGGAGCAGGCTGTGGCTCACACTGGGTAGAGCTTGACCAAACACAGGCCCTCAAATCCCACCTCCACAGCCACACAATTCTCCAAGGCCACACCTACTCCAGCAAGGCCACACCCACTCCAGCAAGGCCACACCTCCTAATAGTGCTCCTTCCCATAGGCTGAGCACATTCAAACCACCACACACAAGGTTGTAGGGTGAACTCAGGAGGCCCAGGTTGAATAATCTACATGGGTCTGGTGGTGGCTCATGAAGCCCTGCCTACACAGGTACAACTAACAAATACTAACGATCCCTAAGATTTCCTGCTGCATGCCGTCTGTGGCCATGGTCATACTGCCCTTTCTTCATGTCAACTTAAGAGGACCTGCACATGAGAGTGACATAGTGCATGCAGTCCTTCTCTAACAGCCACTTCCTCAGCTCAGGCCTTATCACGGAGGAATGTATCTCATAAGATGACACACAGGGAGAGAATATTCTTCGTCACCCTAGTCTCAGCTAACCAATGTGATAGGGCCACTCTACTGTGGCAGCATGCTGAGGCTCTGAGGCCACTGTAACAAGACCTTTTAGAAGGTGTAAGCCATGTTAATCCTAGCTTCTTGGACTCGGGTTCCTACCCCATATGAATTTTCCTGTCTCTTCCACACTACTTTCCCTATCATCATCCCACATGTTGTGTTTTGAATAGGAATGGCCTCCATACTCCTGTGTTTGAAGGTTTGGCCCACAGGTGTGGCACTATTAGGAGGTGTGGCCTTGTTGGAGTGGGTGTGGCCTTGTAGGAGGTGTGGCCTTGTTGGAGTGGGTGTGGCCTTGTTGGAGTGGGTATGGCCTTGTTGGCCGAACTGTGTCACAGTCTTCTGCTTCCTGTGGAACAAGATATAGAACTCTCAGCTCTGTCTTCCAGCACCATGCCTGCCTGGATGCTGCCCTGCTCCCTGCCATGATAAAAATGGACTGAACCTCTGAACTTGTAAGCCAGCCCCAATTAAATGTTGTCCTTTATAAGAGTTGCCTTGGCCCTGGGGTCTCTTCACAGCAGTAAAACCCTAACTAAGACAGTATTTCTCTCACCCCTCCTGTATTGTCTGCCTCTCAATGAGATGCATAAGTGCCATACTTTTGTACTGGGCAATGAAAGCCTTTGGCTTGTCTCCACTCTGAGAATGTCCAACATTCTTCCAGCATTTTGAAGTTCTCCTGCCTTCTCTGTCTGACAGTCACTGGGAGGTCTTCGTGTTGCCTCCTTTTATGAAGAGAAAACTGCATTTCAGATCATGTGCTGCTTGGAACAGCTGCTGCTTTTACAGAAAAATCCTTGAGTCTCATTTTCATTGGATTGACACGGTCATTTTTGGAAGATCATGACCTGTCAATGTTTGATTCGTACCATACAGTCTTTTCATGTTGCTTTCAGGGCTGCTAAAAAAGACTAAGTTTATCCTTGATAACTTCTAGCAAATTCTTCCTTTGTTTTAAAACACACATTAACACTTTCTGTAACAAGCTCAACTTTTTTTTTAAGTTTTGTTTTACTCTTTGTTTCTTTTTATGTATGTATGAATGTATGTTTGTATGTATGTATTTTATGTAAGTACACTGTTGTCATCTTCAGATGCACCAGAAGAGGACATCAGATCTCATTACAGATGGTTGTGAGCCACCATGTGGTTGCTGGGAATTGAGCTCAGGACCTCTGGAAGAGCAATCAGTGCTCTTAATTACTAAGCCATCTCTCTAGCCCGGCAAGCTTAACTTTTATTATAAACCCCACCCACATGGATTGGTTTAAACTCTTGTGGCCTACATTCATTCATTCATTCTCTCTCTCTCTCTCTCTCTCTCTCTCTCTCTCTCTCTCTCTCTCCCCCACCCCCTCTCTCAGCTTTTCTTGGGAGCTATGACTTAGACATTTAGACATTCAGGTAAATCATTTGCTAATTTTACCTTAAGGCTTCTTTAAGACATGAGAAACATGTCATACGCACTAAATGATACAAGTCTATCTGGTTCCGCAAATCAAAAAAGTCTACATTAAAGCTAAACTCCCCAAAACACATCTACTAATCAGATAATCTTTGTCCAAGTGACACAGAATCATTGAGAGTCAGCCAAATGTGTTCTATTGAATCAGAGTTTGTCCTGAAGTTATCCAACCCCAGGGAAGAACAGGGAGTCACTCCAGGTCAAGGGTGAACACCCCTTTCTGAAATGAGGGTACCTCCACAGCATTCTTTCTCCACCTCCATCTCTGCTGTTATCCCCCAACCAGACCTGACCATCCATGCCTCCCTGTACATGAATACCATATACTAACTTGAGTTGTTTATAAATTTTATTCTGTTTGCTCAAATAAATGAGAAGCTACTTAGAATGAACGCCATAATTTCTTAAGCTGGAGACCCCATCATCCAATAATTATTTCAAAAAATGTAGCCAAATGACTCGTGGTTTACAACACCCAGTGTATGTTCCCACACTCTCTCTCCTGACACAGACAGTCTGCTTCGCCATGTCTGAATTGGCTAACTGACTTACTCATTGACACGTGTGAACAATGAACGCCTTGTTCTGCTCCTACTATTAGGAAACACACATTTGGGTGAAATTTCAAAAGTTTCTTTTTGCTTCCTGCAGGGAACCCTTGATTCTAACGTCATGTTGTTTATTTGGGGTATTTTTGTTTGTTTGTTTGGTTGGTTGGTTGGTTGGTTTGGTTTTTTGTTTTGTTTTGTTTCTTTCTGTACTTCAACCACTTTTATTTATAAGAGTTTAAGAGGTTTGAAAAAGATAGAATCATACATGAGAAATCATCAGAACAGACATAAGTCAAACCTAAGAAAGTTACTTATTTCCTTTTGATTGGATGATGAAGAAAGCTGGAAGCCTCATTTAGTGAAGGTAAAGTAATTTTAGCACATAAAATAAGCAAAAATCCCTACATGTGGAAGCTCGACTGGACAAAATAAGGGGAAAGCATATCACAGGACACAGGTCAAATTTTAAGACATATTGGTAATACGTTTTTAAAAAAAATCAGAGAAGACAGGAAGGCTTGGCATGTGTGCCCCTGGTCTCACAGGCACATTGTTCAGTCTGCAGGAAGTGAGTCACCCCTTGCAGAACTCATCACAACTCACTTTAATCAGCCTCACTTTGGCCTGGCAGGAAGTAGCAGTGTCCTACCACAAGAAGTGGGCCACCAGTGGTGTCAAAGCACAGAGGGAGAGTGGTGGGTCACACTGACAGGTGAGTAAGGGCAAGCTATCAGTAAGAAGGGAGTCACCCAGAGGAGAGGAAAGTGAAACCCCCTGAATCCGTGGTGATCCGGTCCCCGGGAACACTGAGCTCCAAGCTTCCTGGGGTCACCTGGAATGAGGCCCAGATATCACCCTTTGCAGCTAGTCCTCACTGGCAGGGTCATCGCTGTTCTCTCCCAGTGGAAACTCCTTTGTGGGCTTCTGGACTGTGTACATCTGGGTCTCTGTGGAGCACTCCTGGTTCAGAATTGCCTGGAGCAAGAGGTAAGTATAGAGATTACTGTGTATCATAGGCCATCCTGTTTCGTGTCCACACTAACACATCCAAGCTTGGTGTTACTTAGAACAACTCAAGATGCAAGTATAGCACCCTCTTTCTGCCTCATGTGTAGGTTCAGGCCTTTCAAGGTACTGGGGCATATCAAGTCCAGTCAGGACAAACATCTGATATGCTTGTGCTTGAACCCTAGCATCAGTATGTGTAAGACGTAGCAAAAATTGGCGGAAGTGGGCACCCTTCTCCACAGACCTTCCTGCCTACTTCCATTTCTTTGAGCATCTTCTACATCTATCCTGAATCTATGAGGCATCTAGGGCTGCTGGGATACAGTGTGCAGGATCTTTTACTTGGAGACTATTTTTTAACTTTAAAAGACAAGGCCTGAGCTGAGAGATGTCTCAATAGGAATGAGGACTTGCCCTGCAAGCATAAGGACTGAGATTGAAGCCCCAGCACCCATATAAAAGACTGCTTTGTTCACAGTCATATGACTGTAATTCTAGAACTGATGGGTAGAGGAAGACAGGTCTTGGGAGCTCACTGGACGGACAGACAGCCCAGAATAAAGGGCAAGCCTCTAGTGCACAGAGACACCCTGTCTCAACATAGTAAGGCAGAGAATAACAAAAGAAGTCAACATTCTCCTCTTATACAGTAACTTGTATGCACCATACACACAAAGAATGAAAATATTCTCATTTTTTCTTCTCTCTCTTTTTTTAAGTTTAGTTTAGTTTTGATCTTTGTTTTGTTTTGTTTTGTTTTGTTTTGTTTTGTTTTGTTTTTGAGACAGGGTTTCTCTATGTAGCCTTGGCTGTCCTGGAACTCACTCTGTAGACTAGGCTGGCCTCCAACTCAGAAATCTGCCCGCCTCTGCCTCCCAAGTGCTGGGATTAAAGGCATGCACCACCATTGCCCAGTTTGTTTTGATTTTTTATGAGTACGTTTTATTAAGGGCAGGCTGACCTTTAATTCAATATGTAGCCAAGCATTACATTAAACTTCTGTACTACGCCTATGTCCCAAATGCTGGGATTTCAGAAGTGTGTCACCACCTCTGCTCTTTATTTTCCTTCCTTACTTAAGATCCAGATAATAGGGGACCTGGTTGTTTAGAGAAAGAAGGGAAAGCAATGGGTGGAGGAAAAGGGTAAGCTGTTAGGAAGAACAGTAAATCTATAAAGCGGAGAAATGACAAGCAGAAATGAGCTCAGGGGGAAGGGTCAGAGGATACAGGGAGGGACAGACGTGTGTTCTAGCCACTACATAGGTACCTTACCAGCTTCTCCTCCTTTGCTGGTGGGTTCTTCAGGAAGCAGCAGAGAGGGGCATAGATGATGTTGATGGTACCAATGATGACCATGAGCCAAGGGAAGCCGATGACCTGTACAATAACACCCCCGGTAGATGGGCCTGTGGAAAAATAAAGCAAATTCCAAGTGGTTGTTGAATCGGTCACCTATAAAACACTATCCTAGGGACAGTGGGTAACCACAGAGACTGAGGCAGATTCCACTATCATCAGATCCCTAAGAGAATGAGGTCTTTGGTTCGAGATCCAGGTAAACCACAATGGAGATGGGGACTGGGTCACTCAGGCCTGGGAACTCCCGTCTAACCCAACCAACATACCAATAGCAAAGCCCACACAAAAAGCCACATCAGCGATGGCGTAGACACTCCCATACACAGAGCTGTGGCGTAAGTCCACCAGGTATCCCATGATGGGCATCAGAGAGGAATCCACCATGCCTGTGGCCAAAACAAGCAGGATGCTGTTAGTCAGCTTACCCATGGCATCTCCCTCCACTCTGCCCCCATTTAGTCTACTCTCTGGGCCTGCTGTCTCCACACTCAGCACCAACAGAGGACCAGGTAGGAACCAGGAGCCCACACTGCACATCTGCCAGCTTCTCTCTCATCCCTGCCTTTCCACCTGCCTCTTCTGATGGGAAAATGGGGAGGAAAGGAACCTGACTCAAAGGACATTTTCGCAGGTGTCTTTTTCACTTTGATGTCACTGCTTACCTATAGCAAAGCCAAGGCCTGCATTGGGGCCAATGAGACCAAAAATATTGTGAGCCAGAGGTACCTAGAATGGGAAGGAAGAAGAGTTCCTCAGAATACCACTGGCCTGGGAAGGGCAGGGTGCAGAGTCTTTGCAAGACATGTATTTGTGACATCTGCCACATGCTTTGCCTCTGATTTCTCATACCTTCTTTTGAAGAATAATCTTCCTTTCCATCTCGATCACATGAAAACTGGGCTGGTATTACCCGAACTTACAGTAAGCAGCAAGATCAAGTTCTAATTTCAGACTCAACTATAATATATTCTATTATATTGTATTATATTACATTATATTATTATATTATATTGTATTCTATTATATTGTATTCTATTACATTATATTATTATATTATATTGTATTATATTATATTGTATTATATTATAGCAAGGATATATTCATGAACACTAACACTCTCTACCAAACACACACTTTTGTGTTCATTCATCACTGTATGTTGCCATCATTGATACTATCAAGCTTGCTTGTTATTTATTTCACAGTACTGGGGATCGAACATAGGGCCTTGTGAGGCTAGCCCCCTCCTCACTTTTTTTATTTCGTTCTGAGATGAGGTCTCACTGAGTTAATTGCCTAAGCTAGATTTGAACTCACTCTGTAGCCTAGGCAAGCCCTGAATCCCCGATCCTGCTATCTTAGTCTCCTGGAGTAGCTGGAGTTAAAGACCACCAAATTTGGTCCCTAGGGTTTTATTTGAAACCCAAACTTGGTAGCCATTTTAGCAAAAAGACAAAAAATAAACCCAACATTTAGCAGCTTAACAACTGGAGAGACAAATGGCACCATTTGGGTGCAACAAGAACAAGCAATGGCATGCATTCACCCCTTTCTGAAAGCAGCATCCCTACCCCTCTTTTTGGTACCTCTTACCCAATATCACTGACCCATCACATAGGCACTGAAAGGTTCAGCATGCCATTCAGCACTGGCAGCTCTTTATGGAGCAACACCTCAAGTGGTGCTCATATTTGTAAATGGCAGGGCTGACTTACTGAGGCTTTTCACGTGCCCTCTCCAGTCTGCAGTCTAGGTGGATTTCTCCAAACACCCTGTGAGATGTAAGCCAACTCCTTGTAAGAGAACACTGAGCAGAGAAGTGGTGTGAGTAGCTGAGGGCCACACAAATGGCAAGTGGTAAAGCTTGAAGGGAGCTTTGAGATCATGCCCATCACCAGGGGCTTTAAAAGCTCAACCTGGGTGCAGCACTCAGAGCCTTATACCTCTTTTTTCATATCCCTTTAGCTGGGAGCCAGATGGACTGATGGTCTCCACTGAGGACAGGTGACAGTAACAGCCTGGAAGCACAAAGGACTCCTCAAGATGGAAATCCCTACTTTCTTTCTTTTACCAAATTTTCTGCTCCTAGAGACTGAGCCATAAATGGTGCACGTCCTGGTGGCTAGTGGAGATTGTCACAGTAGATTGACTAAGTGGATTTATAAAATACCATTGGCTGGCAAGCTCCAGAAATAGATCCCAACACGCTTCAATTCACATGTTTATGCACAGCCTCAGGCCTCTGGTTCCACTGCCCTATTCCTCTCCTTTTACACGTCCTGCTGATGGTACGCCACTTCTGTTCACAGCATCCCCTTGGGTGCCAATTTCTGATCATGTAGAAATTCCTACCACGTCAGACTACTGCTCATTTGAAGGAAAAGATCTTAAATTCTGTAGTCTTCTCCCTTTTTTAACTGGGTCTTGTACTTACACAGAGCAAGCTGAC